ATCATGTTCTTTTAGCTGCAAATTAAGTGGCTAATGACTGAGGTTTTTCTGGGCAGCATACTGATAGATTATGTATGGTTAGTACTGTTAACATTGTTTTGTGCTTGTGGGGGTTTATTCCCCCAAAACCTGTACTTGTAGGTCTTAGAGATTATTTTTTTTTTAATGATTAATTTGGTAAGACTTCCCTATCATCTTTCTCCTTGGATTACTGGTAGAAATTTTCTTCCTGCTGTTTGTTACGTACCTCCCTGAAGGATACTAATCGTTTTATGTATGTACCTTTCCTTGAAAATATAACTAGGTTACTTTGGCAACCAGCCGTATGTTCTGGAGAACAGATTTATTATTTTTATAGAAGCCTCTCACCCCCAGAGACAGGAACAGTGATCCTGAATGTCTCCATGGGTAAAAATCAATGGATCTTTACTTATTTGTATATATGCTCCAATGTAGTTTTCTGTTGCCCTGAGTTTCTTTTCATGATAGAGTTCACCTGAGTCTGAGCATCTATTTTGGTCGCTACGATTAAAAGGTGTCCCTCCTAATGCGTACCTGTTGCATGGCTGTGTAACTGTGCTCTCATTTTGTGATAGCATGGGCATTCTAATTTTTGTGACCACATCCATTTAGTCTTGCATGGTGAATTATTCTGGGAGTCCACATTGCAAATTGCCAAGTCTGGCATTCCCTTCTCTATCAGGTCCTTTTGCCCACTAAGGAATAGCTACACCTTACTGATTAGTTTATCAAGACAGACTGTACATTATTGCTTATAAACTAAGTTGCTCTGGGATAATAATGCTTCTGCGCTGTCGATGAATGAGTAAAAATTTGAACATTACCTTCACATATATATGTGCATGTGAGGCACAGGCTTTTCCCATGCCCCTTGCCATCAGATGCTACTCATTTTCTCTTGTTTGGACAGCGTACAAAATAGCATACCCTGGAGACAACAGGGCTGTGTTGTGAATTCCTGTTCCTAGCCAGCCCCTGGAAAATGTTTTGGTTTGGAATATGGGAAGAAACGAAGCTGTGGGGAAACGGTGTTTGTCCCTGGTTAAAGAAAGAGCTACCTTGCACGCTGTGAGATGGGCTGATACATACATTGTGTGAATCCAGAGTATGAGGAGACGTTCACCAGTGTACTGTATTTTTCCTCACTAGCAAAAATAAACTATTCTGTTTCAATGCCATTTCCCAATTTTTGATATCCTTCTTGGCTCATTTCCCAAACAACTCTGAGCTGGGAATGTCTTTCATTCCCGCTGCCCGTGTTGTTTGTTCTGGCTACTGGATCTTTTCCATTTCTGGGAGATGCTGCATCTCTCTGTTTCTCTGCCAGACTAATTCTTTTTTGCTCCAGTGGGCTTTGTGCTTGGAGCAGAGAGTGCAAAATGCCTGGTCAGAAGTGTTACAGTTTCAGGGAAGGTAGATGGTGAATTTCCAGGCTATTTCTATTTTGGGTTTTGTTTGTTTCCTTTCTTCTTACTGTTATATACTAATAGTTTTTTTTTTAGTTTTTCTCTCTGTACTCTCTTCCAATATAGAAATAACATTTTTCAAAAATCCTCCAAGGTCCCATGAGGAAACAGTAACCAGTCTTTCATTTCTTTGTGTAGGCACACACTCAGAAGGGCAGAGGGCACAGCCATCCTGTCAGTGCAGCACAGAGAACAGTGAAATATCAGTAGAGGATTTGTTTCTTCCTGCCATCCTAACTTTTTTTCTTTGTTGATATTAAAGCATAAGTTATTCTTAATGCGGTTCTTCCTTAAACATTCCTTGTACGCTGATAGGCTCAGCAGAGGTTTGGTCACCGGGGAATGGATGACTCAGGCTTTTAGACTCTGAGTCAACAGTCACAATGAGTAGATTCATATACTTTTGGCATGTAAGTACAAGCTGGTGCTTCATTTCACTGTGTTTTGTCGATGAATTTTTCCAGAGTTAATTCAGACATTCTGAAGCATTGAGGAGCAACATAACCTGTGGTCTGCTTGGGCGTAGGTTATGGTGGAAAGTGAGTTGATGTTGTTACCTGCTCTCACGATGCTACATTTGCAGTTAAGGAAACAGCCTCAGAACGCCTTCCATGCTTGTGTTTTTATCAGTTTCTCTTTGAGGGGCATGCCTATACTACCTAACAAACTTGTTTAAATATATAGCATACTTTCCTAACTGCGTAATGTTTCACTTTGTCCACTTTGTTTCTTTGAAGACCTAAGGTGCTGATAGTAAAATTGTTGAAAGGGCGATAATGCAGCATGGGGCTGTGGAGCTTGCCAGGCTGTGAACAGGATATAACAAGCTTCTATTCTTTGGCATCAGCTTAAAAGTAGTCCTTTTGTTTTGTTAAGCTTTTAATTTGGGCTGTTTTGAAGGGAAGTGATGTACTGTGGCTCAAACTGGCAACTTCTGTGTTCTTTACTGGGATAACTTTATTGAATATCCTCTCTGACTGAAAGGAGAGTGGTGAACAACACTAGTCCAGTGTCACAGTAGAGATAAATAACACTGTTATCGAAGTAGATGCAGGTTTCATTTAATTTCATTTATCCTCTGCACCAGTGTTTCCCGAAGAGTTCTGATGCTTTGTGCTGATCCTCCCTACTGGAGATATGCAGATGAGTTATTTTTCTGTCAGCTCTGTCCAATGAAAGTCAAGATCGTGCTGCTAGGCCACCTTTTTACAGGAAAAATAATCTAATGACTGGATTGCAGTACTGTCATGGAAATAAATTGCCTCCTATGTTCAGATAGCAGCAAGGTGGTGACCACTTAGTGCAAATCTTCTTCCTATTGTTAATGGTTTCTCAGTAGCATAAAAGCCTGTGCTCTTGGCAGCTAAAAGATTTAGTCACATCTAGATAATGTATTTGAGACAAGACACAGCTAGATCAAATGATTATTTGTGAGGGTTTTGCCTCGATTCATCATGCGGTAGTACATTTTCCAAGAGTTCGGCTGCAGAGCTCCTACCAGAGACACTGATAAGGTTTTTTGGGGGTCTGATTTTGTTTTTCCTAGGTGTCTCTGTGTGTCTTTGTTTTTCTCACTTTTGTTGCATTCTAGTGAGTTGTGAGCCAGCTAGCCTTCCTGTGTGGTAGGTGTGAAAAATTGGACTGTCTCTCTGTTCCAGCCTCTGGTGAACATGAGCTCTCTTGCCATTCCTCTGAAACTGTGCTACATTCTAAAAAGATGATTATGGAGTGCAGTATTTAAGGGTTGTATGGTGGCATGAGGTCAGGTTCTGTGGGGGGAACTGGCTGTATTTGGAAATCTCAGTGATCTGCTACTACTCGTGATCAGCTTTAGAGAGGACAAAGTCAAATAGCGTCAGAAGGTGTCTGCTGAGCCTTTTGTGCTTTGACAACTGCTTTGCACGACGTCTACTGTAATTTTTAAGATGATGTCAAGTAGTGTTAGTATTCAGTCATTTTAATAAGGCAGTGAGTCTTAGCAGCAAAGACTTGCTGGCAACTCGCTGTTTGAGCCTGGTGCTGTTACATCAGCTCTTTTGTGAAGGCTTCATCATGCACAAACTTTTATGCTTATCCCACTTTTTCCGCCAAATTAAAATAGGGGTCAATTTGAAACTATATACCAGGAGATTTCATTGGCAATTTGGGCTAAAGCAAAAACTTTAATCTCTGAAGGTTAGATTTAATTGTCTCCCTGCCTCTCTTAACTGTAATAAAAGAGTAGTGAAAAAGCTTCAGCTAGTTTTCCTTTTATTTACTCCAGCAGCAGGTTCGAGCCCAAAGGAAAAAAAAAAAGGTGTAAAACAAGCTGACTTGGCCTTTTGTATGTATCAGAGCTTTTGTAGCATTGGTTTCTCATCAGACCAAGCTTGCTTGCTGTGAGGATAATCTGACTCACCTTTTGGAAAGGTAAAGGTCAGCTGCACTTGAGGAAGCCCCTGGTAGGCAATGCAGGCTCATAAAAATACTCTCAGCTCTTTCTTGACAGTTACCTTCTCTGGACCATGGTCTTGTCTTTGCTTGCCTCAGGCTTCTGGGAGCCCAGGATAGTTTATTGCCCTGCAGAAAGCACTGGGTAGATCCCACAGCAGTGTTCACTGCTGTATATTCCTGTGTGTGTATGTGTATATATATATATATATATATATATATATATATATATATATATATATATTTATATTTATTTATATATATAAAATACATATATATTTCAATGCATGGCTCATTAATCTGTGTCCCTTCTGTGGAGTAGCTGATGATGCGTTTATTTATTTCTTCCTTCCTTCTTTTTCTTCAGTGCTTTGACCCTTTCATTTTGAAGGCATAAGGTGTGGAAGTGTAAAGAATGATCTCATGGTAAGGGACTCTGAGTCCAGGATAAAAGTGAATTATTAGAACAGAATTTCTCTCTGAGGTAGAATGGGTTTTAAGAATGATGCCACATAGGCAGAATGCATTTCTCATTTGTATACCCTGACAAAAGAATTGATTGTTGCTGCCTGCTTTTAGGTATGTAGATTTATACCTGACAACTAGCTCTAAGTTCACAAGTAGTAACAAATGATAGAAACCAGCTTAACCACTGGTAGCAATTAGCTGTTTTAGAATGTGTTTGAAAAGGTTGTGTAACTGGGGAAATTGTCAGACAAGAGAAGATCCAATCAGGCTGCTAAAAGAGATTTTGTGGGCAAATGAAATGAGTACTTCGGTAAAATTCCTTACTATTGCAGCGTATGCGCGTGCACACTGGTGGGCTGGGGCTGATGAGCCTCTGGCAGGGAGCTTTGCAGAAGCTGCAAATGTTTTCAGTGGAAAGGAGACCTCAGCTCAGTTCTGTGGCATGTGACTTCCTATTTCGGTAGGTTACTTCCAAGGGACTTCCTCTGTTAAATGGACTCGTCTCTGGAGATTTAATCTGGAGCTGGAGCGTGGTCTGCTTTGTCCTGTGCCTCTGACAGCACTTTCCTGGAGTTTGCTTTGGAGTATTTCATTTTTATTTTGCACTGTCTCCAGCGTGCAAGGATCTAGTGGCTGCTACCCGTGATCGGAAGCTGAGCACGTTTGTCCAGGTCTCAGTGGTGCATCCAGCAGAGCACATTGCCGCGCGGTATTCGAGCACTGAAATCGTGGAGGTGAGCGTCTTCCTTACTCAATTAACATGCTGATTGTTCCATTGCTCATTTCTTCCTTAGAAAGTGAGTTAGGAATAAAACAAGTTGGTGCATAGTGCTAGGTAAGACAAGCACACCCTGGCAGTTAGTAAAGCATACTGAAGTGTGCTGTAGTTCTTGGCATTTAAGCAGGATCAACAGAAATTCACTTGGCTTCTCATGAAAGCTCTGTTGTTCCAAGTGGAGGCATGGAGAATATTCCAATTCTCCAGACACAGGTTTAGAATGAAACAGGGAGTAGTTGCTCTCATGAAGGGACAAGGCAATGCAAAGTAAAACTTAATTAAGAGTATAGTGAGTTTGGAAAGTATTTTTAAATGCAGAAAAGCATAGGTGTATTACATGGTCTGTTATCCTATTTGGTTTTTGTTCTATTTTTTCCATTAAAGAGCTGATGCTTTTGCAATTTGAAAAATATTACCCTAGATCTATAATTTGGGAAAGAAATGTGTGTATGTAATGTCTGTGACTTTACATGTAAGACTTAGTAATTGGTACCATACGTGACAACAAAAGTCATCTGAGGCTGCTTTGCTAGTCCTGACTTTGCCCTGTAAGCATTGGTGTCAGAAACAGCAAAAATGGTTCAGAGAAAATGAAGGGTGAGCAATGTAGATGTAACTTGCTTAACTTACAGGGGAGATTCATTAAGAGCAGGAAAGTCTCATTGTAAACACACACATGATTTCACCAGAGGCTTGTTTTAACTCTTAAATACAATGAGAATATTTCATGAGGTCTTTGTGTGATTACTTTCAACCAACTACTAATTAAATTATTATGGTTTCAGCCCTCAACCATCCTGAAACTGCTTAATTCAAATATCTTGTATCTGATCAGGATGTCTCATTGCAGACTGTCTGGAATGATGTTGTGCAAAAGATGGATAGATAACTATGTATTTTTTTAAATAGAAGTTGATGCATTTCCTAATACAATGTCCTAGACCTCAATAAATTCCTGAATTTGTTTTATCAAGGTTCTTGGCTTTGTAGTCAAGCTTTGGTGGAGGGCAAGGCAGGGTCACAGAAAGTTAATCCATAAGATAAATTACCTTTGTCGTGCACAAGCCTTTTTTTTTTTTTTTTTTTAATTACTTAATGGAAAATTTAATCATACACACTGGTAATCTTTGGCAATTAGGTGTAATTAAACATGAAGAAATTATAAACAATGTTTTGTATTATTCATTTAATTGTACATCTTTAGCTATGATATAGTTAGTTCTGTGTACAGCTTTTAAGTGTAATCATAATGTTTCAAAGCACAGGAATTTTATTTTATAGCAGTACAGCCTAAAGAGGAATATTTCAATCCCCTCTCCACAAAATCAGTATCCTTAATGTAATACTGAGAGTCTCTGTAGCATTTCTATACACTTAGTATTGTGGCTTAATGAAGATTGCTCTTTTTTGTATGTGTGTGCATGTTAAATCCTTAGTTCATCTAAATTAAGATGAAATTTTGGTACTTTCAAAACGTGTTGAGGGAGTAAGAAAGGTTTTTTGGTTATTATAGGTTGTATTCCAGAACCTGGTACTGGCTGAGCTGTTTAAAAATGTGATAGCAGGCTCTGCCTCTGAAGCACTTCATATCCTTCCCAGTTAAAAAAACTTTCCAGGAAGTTCTTGTAGTTTTGTTTGGGTTTTGCTTGTTTGTTTTTAGCTTTCCTGATAAAGTTTTAAGGCTGTTTGTTTTTTCTCTTTGATTGGGTAATAAAACTGAGCTGTTTCCATCTCTCTGCTGTAGACAGCTGGCACCCTCTGGGTTTCTGTACCTCCACAGTGACACCCTTCACATTGCTCAGCTGTCCTTACTGAGTGTTTGCCCATGTTGCACAGGGTACAAAAGATCCTCTGTTTCTGACTGCTGTGACCTTCCCACCGGAATACCCCATCTATGAGGAAACTGAAATAAAACTCACGGTCTACGATGTCAAAGATAAATCCCAAGACACGGTAAGCGCTTTGCTTCAGTCCTTGCACAGATCTGACTGAGGAATGAGTTTCTTGCTGTGTTGTTCTTCGGCTCTCATTAGCAAACTGGGGAGATGGTTTGATGTCAAATTGGTTTTGTTGTTCTCTTGTGCCTAAAATCTACTTCATCTGTTGTTGATATGTTAGAGACTAGAGAAAGAGAACCATGCACTTAAGGTGGGCTTTTTGCTATTGGCTTTTTAACTGGTTACATGAGTCAGCACAGGTATTCCTGGCAAAGAAAAGACTGCTCTCTTGTGCTTTTTGAGAGCAGAGAACACATGGAATAGACTCTGATAGCACTGCTGTGAATAACTTTTCAGAAATATATTTCTGATAATATTTTACTTCTCTGCATAAACCAGAATGACAGTAGAGCCTGTAACTTGGGAGAGAGCTACTCCTATTTAATCTCTTGGGTGGTGATACCTGCAGCTTTCTGTTGCTGCTTTTGTTCTTGATTTGTAGCAGTCCAAACTCTACAGCTAAAGGTGAATCATTTGGGGTTCCAGTGTTGTACACTCTTGAGTACAGAGTCAGCTTTTTATTCTTGGGAGTTACTCACTTGGGCTGATACATGGAGGTCAGAGGAACAATCTGAGTGGTTAAACTGCCAAATAAAGAGCTTGAGTACTATTTGATGTGTTCCAGATAATCCAAGACAGCCTTAGGCAAGGACTAAGCCTTTGTCTTAGCCTAGGACAGAGCTAGATGTCATAACAGGACCTGTGGGAGATGTGTATTTTTCTTCTGCAGCAGGCTGGAGTCCAGCTGATTAGTTTGCTCTCAGCCATCAAGAATGGCCACGTTGACACCTGTGTTGAATTGACTGAATTGCTCTGTAGTTGGCACCCAGCATGATGAAAGCAAGTGCAAGCTTCTGTCCTGGCTGTATATATGTTCATTATCTAGAAGAAGGTAATCGAGGACATGATTTGAAGCTTGAGACTGTCTTTGAGCTGCTTACAAAAGTAAAGTTCTGTGTTTTGAGAACTTGTAATTTTTTCAGGTAGAAAATTATTGATCTATTTGTTTAAATTTTCAACCTTTGTGAGCCGGCAGGTTGCTTCTGTCCCCTCACTGTGCTCTTTCATGGGAATATGTGGAGTGTCTTAAGCATCAAATCTGAATTTCTTCTCTGTTTAAGAAGGGAAGGGACATGTATATGCATTTTATAATGTATATATTTTAAATTTGGTGTTGGATTAGACTACAGGGACTTAAAATGGGATCTGCTGTTTCTTCAATAGAGTTGTCACCTGTGGACAGGTAACAGGCATTGAGTTAATGGAGTTGGACTTTGTCCTTCCCTTCCAGTTTCATTTTGACTGACAGATGCTGGAAAATAATATCCTATCAGTAAGTGATAAAAGTGAACTGGGTTGGTAGTACTTTTCCCTGTGTTACTGCTTTTCTAGCTCCAGGCTCCTCTACTGCCACTTATGAAAGAGAAGATCTACCCTAGAGAACTAATAGAACTTGATAAGCTTTTTGCAAACCTGTAAGGACTTTCTGTAACTGTTCCTTACAATTGTAGTTCAGGACTAGAGTCTCTCCCAGGGAATCCCACTGATGTAGCTTGTAAATCACGAGATAATACCTTTCTCTTTTGTCGTAGCATTTGTATTGTTCCTATGTGAAACATTCTAGATCTGTGCTGTAGGACCTTTTTGTGGGGGCAAGTATTGATCTCATCTCTGATTTACATACATTTAGCATTTTTTACTACTCAACCATTTTAAGCTGGATGTAGGCAATAAAAAATTAAATAAGATGTAAGATTTACATCAAGATGAGCTGCAGCATATGTGAATGACCCCAGGCTACCCTAGTTGCAACTTCGTCTGTGGCAATATTTCCACTTCTGTTTACATCCCAGAATCTCAGTCATGCTATAACTTGACTTTCTTACCTGTAATTAATTAGAAACCATCATGCTTTCTATTAGTTTGGGTGATTTTTTTTCAAGTCTGGATGTTTATGTAGGCTCATAAGAGTCAGGTTAAAATGAGCTATAATTTGATATCATTACCAGCATAGCTGCAACAGCACGGATCTCCATGCTTGGAGATCAAACCAAACAAACTGGATATGTCCCTTTGGCAGTGAAACTGCTCCCAGGGCTGTGGTGTCACAGCTCTGATTCTCCAGTCTGCAGCAGAGCTGGCTTTCCTGTTCCTCAAAAAGTGCTGCCACGTATTACAGCTGCCAAATGTAGTCCCACCATTCCTCCAAACGGACAGGTAATCCAGTTTTGGGTGGGGGGGAATCCAGGCCTGCTAGGCATGCCCTGCTCTTCCAGGCTGTGCTCCAGAGCAGATGTGAGCTCAAATCATTGGGCATTTGTAGCAGAAATAAACCTTGGATTGGACTGTGAGCTGTTCTGCAGAAATCGTGTTACAGCAATAATTCCCACAGCATCAGGGCTGTGCTACTGCTTGCCTCAGTTAATGAGCTCAAAGTAGTTAATATCTCTTGTCACAAATAAATACTTTAACTTTTCTTATTTATTTTGATGCAACTATAGGAAGTGAATTCTGTGCATGAATTAAACTCAGCAGGATTTTACTACCAAAAATAGAAGACTGTAGAGAAGGTGGGAAAAGGGCAGTGAGTACATCACTGGGTAAAGCATTTTCTTGGGTTTTGTTAAACCTGGCTCTGACTATACAAGAGAATTTGCTCTCATTTTCAAATCTGCTGGAATTTTACTATAATAGAAAACTAACTAAATACTTCTTGAGTTGTGCACACAAGTGATAATATTAAAGTGAAAGAAGATGCTCCTCATTGAGAAACAACCAGAATTTATTTTTGGCCTGCTCTTTAAAAAAAAAAAAAAATTCTTGAAAATTACCTTTCAATGCTAGTATTCCTGTACCAGAAAGCTTTTAGTTGCTTCACTCTTGACTGTCACTTCACTTCCATTATGTAAGAAGTATGGTTTAATTATATTGAAATACTGTGCAGCTGGGATCACATTCACTCTGCTTGACACCCGGAATGTTCTGACCGCACTTCTCACTTTTTATGCTTCTCTGTCTGATGTTGATCATAATTATGTCTTGGCTGTGTCAGATTTTCTGTTATTGCGGCTTTTTAGGTTGATGAAAGGGGGGTTTTTGTTTGTTTTGACTAGTCTTTCTAAGTTAGTGTAAGTTTTCACGTAAATAGAAACTTTTAAGAAAGACTATGGTATTCCCAGTTCACTTAGATATACTCAGAACAACGTAGCTGAAATGCTTATGAAATATCCTTTAAATATTTCCAGCGAAGCCACGCATACAGATCGGTGGGTAATGCCATATTGTGAGAAATGTATAGTGACATCTGTTTCTACATCACAAAGATTTTTCTTCTCATATTGCTGTGGGCAAATTTATGTTTTGCTGGCTTGAGCTACACTGTCTTTAGGATTTTATAAAGTTGGGTTTTGTTGTAATGCTGGGGCTGTACCTGTTCTATGTCATTGTCAAATAAGATCAGAATTATAGGCTTATAAATCGTTGAAAAATTACCTCTGTCCCACTTTTGCACAGGCATGCTGTTCTTACCTTTCTTATAGGCATGTAGGTTAGCCCAGTTTGGTCTGGCAAGATTTAGAGCTGAAGCTGGGCTCATTCTCTGGGACAATACTGCATAGCACGAGTCAGGTACCACTGCTGCATGGCAGAGCCACAGAGAATACAAAGCTGATGGTTTTGTGTTCCACTGAGAGAAGTCTACTCAGTGTGGACTCCTCCTCCTCCTCTGCTCCTCATCTGGGAGGCAGTGGGTGTTGTTCTTTGTTTGGAATATGTCTATCCTGCAGCAAGAATTAACCTCATACCCAGTGAGTTGGCCACTTCTTTTTCATCCACACATGGACAAGTGCTGGGAACAGAGGCAGGAGCAACTTTCTGTACCTGCTGGGAACTTTCTATATCTGATCTTTGCGTCATCCCTTCAAAGATAATCTCCTTTGGATGGATATTACTATTGGAATTCATGTGCGGTACTGAAAGTTACACACAGCCACTCCAGTGTTATCTCCTGAGGGCAAGGAGAAACTGGATGTATAAAATGCTGCTAAAATATTGCATTTGACAGTCCGGTCTCCCTTTTTTTACTCCCCAAATTTCATCTTAATCACTCAGAATAAAATTCGACTCATTTGATAATCTTAGAAGTAGTGGGGCTAGAAGTTCTGTTTTTGATATGGGAATATATCTTGTAAAGTGGCAATTTAAGATTACTCAGGCTTTAAATAACTTGTCTTTTAACTCTTGGGGTTTAAATTTTCTATTAAACCTGTTCACTGGGAATGATATTTTGCAAAAGGCTTTGCTTTGTGTGTTTCTTGATTTTGCAAGCGCCCCTGTTAAAATTGAATCCTGCTGGGGTGAGCTGGAAAATGAGGCCTGTCCATCACGACAGAGGCGTTTTGAGTTAAGCCAAATCTGAAGTGACAGCGTTCTGTGTTCCCTTGTGGGCACTGATCCCTGTTACACCACCACCACCATGCAGTTTGGTCCTTGTGCCTTTGCCATCTCTGCTGAGGGGACACTGGAGCACCAGGAGTGCTGCAGGGCAGCGTGTAAAATGCATTGGCAGAGATCAATGTGAAATCTCTACCTCGCCTTCCCGTTCTCTGCCTGCACCACAGTGCACACAGTCCCTCATTCCTGCGAATGCTAAAAATACCAAAACAGTTTATCTTCAAAAGCTGAAGCAAAGTGGTATACTTTGTTTAAAGACAAAAACACCTAAGTCTTCCCTTTATCAGTTGTGTTCCCTGCTGTCTCTGCAGGATTTGCAGAGAAATATTGCCTTAAACTAGAAACTCCTATTATCTCATTCTCCGTAATAGAGCAGTACTGTAGTCTGCTACAGTCCTACCCACAGAAGTACTTGCATTAAAGCTTTAGATGTTCATCTTTCTCTGCAAAATCATCTATTTTTTTCATAAATATATATCTGATGATAGATTTAGTTTTCCTTTT